TAATATTTATAGAATAATACACTAAATAATTATAGAATACAAATTTTTCAAGCGTGCTTGATATGTTCACCAAGCTATTTTATTAACTTTCTGGGATTTTTTTTAATACCATACACCTTGTATTTTACTTACCCTGATTCTTGAGAAAAGATGTTGAAGGTTATCACAACTCAGTACTAGCATGCATTTTTTGAGGGAAAAATGATATGCTATTTCTACTTATAAAAATACATAACACATTAAAAATAAAATTATTAAAATTCTTGTACAATATTCAAATGTTTTACAGGTGCAAAAATATACAAAGCTGTATCAACGCAAAAMCAAACTGAGCAAACATGAATGATATTTCCCAAAAAGCCGAGGTAAGTCTCAAAAATTAAAAAATAAAAAGATGGAAAACAGCAGGAATATGATACATGATTTAAGTTTTAAACTTTAAAGCTTGAACTTCTGCCTTTTCTTCATTTTCATCTAATTTACTGAAATTAGTCTTGGTAACTTTTAAGCAAGAGATGTCAAATCTGATTTTTTTTTTTCTGGTACTGGGGCTTGAACCCAGGGGTACTTACACACTGAACCATATCCCAGCCCCTTTCTTTCTTTCTTTTTTTCTTTTTTTTTTTAAATATTTTTTTAGTTGTTTATAGACCTTTATTTTATTTACTTACTTATATGTGGTGCTGAGAATCGAACCCAGTGCCTCACACATGCGAGGCAAGCGCTCTGCTGCTGAGCTACAACTCCAGCCCCCCAGCCCTTTTTTTATATTTTATTTAGAGACAGGATCTCACTGAGTTGCTGAAGCTGGCTTTGAATCCATGATCCTCCTACYTCAGCCTCCTGAGCACCACCCCGCTGGGCTAAATCTGAATTTTTATTAATGGAATAGGATAATAAAATACAGGTTGCTTCTCATTTGGCTTCAGTATTTGATATTTATATTTTACTGACCTTCAGCTTATGTAGATCGGTACACACAAATGGAGCTTCTTTACTAAGGCAGTTTATATGGATAGAATTTACATTAATGAATATTTATATTAATAAAATGTATCTCATATTTTCTATAATTTCATTTTTATACTTAATTTGTAGATAGTATCTAATCAGGTTATGATAATGCAAAGAAGGTTTTAAAACTCATTTCTATTTTCTGTTTCAATAAGTATTTTTTATATTGCTTATTCTTATCTTTACCTAATTTCTTCCTATCTTTTGTTTTTTAAACTTTCTTCTCTTTATTTTCTTCTAACGAAGATTCTGCTTTCTTCGTCTAAACCTGTCCCAAAATCCTATGTGCCAAAACTTGGCAAGGGTGATGTAAAGGATAAGTTTGAAGCCATGCAGAAAGCCAGGGAAGAAAGAAATCAAAGGAGATCTAGAGACGAAAAGCAAAGAAGAAAAGAACAATATATTAGAGAGAGAGAATGGAACAGGAGAAAGCAGGAGGTTACTTTATTTTATTTTATTTTATTCTATGCAAATATTAATTTTCATCTTTTAAATTTACATTTTACTTATTATTCRTAGTTACATTTCATATTGATTATAATTAAAATACTTTAATATGTTTGTAAGCTAATTTAAACTCTACATAGAGAGTAGTCTCTCCTTATCTGCAGGTTTGCTTTCCACTGTTTCAGTTATCTAAAGTCAACCAGCCTGAAAATATTAAATGGAAAATTCCAGAAAAAAATAATTAATTTTTTAATAAATTTTATTAATTATATTGTTATAATTGTTCAACTTTATAATTACTGTCAATTTCTTACTATTCCTAACTTATATATTAAACTTTATCATAGGTGTGTAAATWCAGTAAAAACCACAGTATGTGTATATATATGGCACTCAGTACTATCTGCAGTTTCAGGAATCCATTGGGAGTCTTAAAAGGTATCTCCTGCAGATGAGGGAGGACTACTATAATATGATTTAGTCTAATTTAAACATGTTTATCTTAATTTATTTGACCATCTAGATTAAAGAGATGCTTGCTTCTGATGATGAGGAAGAGGTAACTTCTAAAGTAGAAAAGGCTTATGTCCCAAAGCTAACAGGTAAGAAACTTGAGGGGTAAATAGTAAAAGAAATTACAAAAGAAAGAAACATAACAAAGTATTAATTTTTWWAAAAAATGTATTCTTAGGGACTGTTAAAGGTAAATTTGCTGAAATGGAGAAACAAAGACAAGAGGAACAAAGGAAGAGAATGGAGGAGGAACGAAAACGCAGAATTGAACAGGATATGTTAGAAAAGAGGAAAATACAGCGTGAATTAGCAAAAAGAGCTGAGCAGGTATACACTAAATATTAAGTTGGTATTTTCTTCTGAAACTACTGTATAAAGAAAGACTAATCAGTATGTTGCCTAATTAAAACATTTTAATATAAGCCTAATAATAGCAGCTAACCTAAAAATAATATCTTAAGTAAAATATTGATTATCAGATGCCTAGAAGGATACAGGTAAAATGCGCTTTTCTTTTTCTTTCTTTTCTTTTCTTTTCTTTTTTTTTTTAGTACTAGGGATTTAATTCAGGGTCTCACATATTCCAAACAAGCACTACATCCCCAACCCTAGAATGTGCCATTTTAAGGTGAAACATTGAGATGATTTTTGTTATGATCTTATGATTCTGTCCATGTTCCTTACATGGTCCACATTTCTAATTTTTCTTGACACATTAGAGGATTTTACAAAGATGTAAGACAATTTCACACATAACCTGTTTACATCAGGTGCGCGCTCACACACACAGATACACACAAATGCCGGATTTTTAATAGCAAAACATTTAAAAAAAATAATGAGGGCTGGAATTGTGGCTCAGCGGTGGAGTGCTCACCTAGCACGTGCGAGGCCCTGGGTTCGATTCTCAGCACTACATAAAAATAAATAAATAAAGATATTGTGTCCAACTACAACTAAAAAAAAAATATTAAAAAAATATTTTTTTTTAGTTGTCAATGGACCTTTATTTTAGTCATTTATATGTGGTGCTGAGAATCAACCCAGTGCCTCACACATGCTAGGAAAGCGCTCTGCCACTGATCCACAACTCTACCCACCAACAGCAAAAATTTTAAATGCTGGGTTTTAAATTTTTTTAGATGTTTTAATGGACCTTATTTTATTTATTTATATGTGGTGCTGAGAATCGAACCCAGTACTTCATATTTGCTAGGCAAGCATTCTACTACCACTGAGCCACAACCTCAGCCCCTAAATGCTGCTTTTTAAAAGCAATTATATAAGTACCTTAAATCTATTTGAAATGCTTCCTTCTGTTTCTACTAACTTTCTCAAAAGTACATTGAAAGTAAAACATGCCAAACTTGCATATCAAAGAAATTTATTTACTCTGATTTTGCAAATAACCACTTCTGTGGCAAAAATAGCCACAGAATGGTAAATGATGACATATGCTAGGTATGCTATGAAAAAGAATGGGAGCCAGATATRGTGGCCATGCCTGAAATCCCAGTGACTCAGGAGGCTGAGACAGAAGGATTGGGAGTTCAAAGCCAGCCTCAGCAAAAGCAGGACACCAAGTAACTCAGTGAGACTCTGTCCCTAAATAAAATACAAAAGATGGCTGGAGATGTGGCCCAGTGGCCAAGTGCCCCCTGAGTTCAATCCCCAGTACAAAAAAAAAAAAAAGGGAATTTCCTATATTTTATTACTTTGTACCTCCTTTTCTGAAGAAAGAATGTTATATGCTTTACTATTGCCCCTTCTAGTAAATAAAAATYATCATTCATTTTATAATGAAATTTTATAAGGAAATAAAATTATAACATGAGAATTATTATAAATATATAATATAGATATATAATATTATAAGCATATATAAATATATATCTTTAATTATATTAACAGTATCATAAATTATAAAATAAAAGAATAAAAAATATAATAAATATATAATTCAAATATATGGTATTTGGCAGAAAGTAATATGTACATGGTCTCTTCTTTTATATTATTTTACAGCACTGATTGTTTTATATACTCTTTCTGGCTCACTTTCAACTTCAAGAATGGAATATTTAGACAGTAGTTTTTCAAAAACTGTTTTTGAAAATACTTTCTTTGAAAACATTGCAAATACTTGCTACGTGGATAGGGTGTCAGAGTTTGTTTTTTTGTTTTTTTTTTTGTTTTTTTTTTTGGTGGTGGTGCTGGGGATTGAACCCAGAGCCTTGTGAATGCAAGGCAAGCACTCTACCAAGTGAACTATATCCCCAGCCCAAGAGAATCTTGGTTAATAAAATTTTGACCTATTAAATTAAGGACATGTAGGTGGTACAAATTATTAATAGTAAAAATCTTGTAAATATGTAAGTCTAATTTAAAAACCTAAGTACATTTCCACTCAAATCAGATATAATTTAATGTATCTTTCAATATAAGAAGTACAAGATTGTACAGATAATCAAAAAGAGYCTTAATGTTTGTTTACAAAGTCTACTTGTATAAATCCATATGCAAGAATGCTATAAAAGGAACCTAGTGTGGTGGTGCACACCTATAATTTCAGCTACTTGGGGAGGCTGAGGCAAGAGGATTCTAAGTTGGAAGACAGGCTAGGCAATTTAGCAAAACCTTGTCTCAAAGTAAAATTTTAAAAAAGTGTTAGGAATATAACTAACAGGTAGAATGCTCCTGGGTTCAAACCCCAGTAACACCAGGTTTGGGAGGAGAGATGATATAAAAGGGTTCCAGAGTTTGGGAGGTGGCTGAATGAGTGACAGCCAAGATAATTACCAGTTCTGAGATTCTAGGATATTATAAAGAATTAAAAATGAATGTGCCTTGCGTATTGTTAGAAATGAAGACTGACAGAATTTGAGGGAAATCTTGATTTGGGATTATCTGGTTATCTATAATGATACATTGATGGATAAAATTAAAGTCTGTCGATTTAGAAAAAGAACAGTTTTGGTTGAAGTAGGGTATCTTCAAAAGAAAGGAAAGAAAAAAAAATGAAGGTGATTTGGGAAGAAAGGAGTTTGCTTTCAAAGCAAAATAAATAGGAAGCAGCTTTTTAATGGTGGCTTCTGAAAGTCAACACCATAATTGAACATCAGAAAATCTGTTCTCTGTGAATATACCAACAACTTATGTTAATGGTTTGAAATGCACAAATTAAAAGAAATCTCCAAATAATAACCTAAGAAAGATCTGGGTAGATTGTAGAATRGACCAAATTTGGGATTAAGAAATTTAGCATTTCTTGGGACTGGGGCTGTAGCTCTGTGGCAGAGTGCTTGCCTAGCATATGTGAGGCACTGGGTTCGATCCTTAGCACCACATAAAAATAAACAAATAAAATAAAGACATGTTGTCCACTTACAGCTACCGAAAGAAAAAAAAAATAAATTTAGCATTTCTCTTTCCTATAATCTCAATATTTGGCTTCTTGCCATATCTTCTGAATCTTTTTATTGAGAAATTAACATAATTTTAAAATCATGTTTACTAACATGATCAATATTGTTTTGAAGACAAGTTATTTTTTAATTATTTTATTATAGATTTATTAAGACTTTTCTTACATTTTTTAGTATATTTCTCTCATATGTGGAAGCTGGAAAGGAAGAAGGAAAAGAAAGATGGGGGTGGACCTCATAAATATCAAAGGGAGATCAGTAGAGGAAAGGGACCAAGGGTTGGGAGATAGGGAAGTAGGGAGACAGTCTTGGGGAGTGATATTAGTCCAATTATATTGTTATATTGTGTGCATGTACAAATATTTAACAATAAATCCCATCAGTATGTAAATTATAATGCACCAGTAAAATATGGAAAAATATTTTTTCTTAATATAACAAACATTCAATAAAATGTTCACTCTTACTTAGGACATCAGTGTAACAAGTAATTCTGTAACAAGCAAATTATTCTGAACAAAATATTTTTGTAGTGTATAAGATTATTCTGAATAACCCATTTCAATTATTAAAGTATAAAAACAGACTTTCAAAAAATGAACCATTTGGTGCTGGGGATATAGCTCCATTGGTAGAGTGCTTGCCTCACATGCAATAGGCCCTGGGTTCCATCTCCAGCACCATAAAAAAAAAAAAAAAATGAACCATTTGTTCAGAATAATTTAGWAACTTAGTTTTTAAGAAATTGGGTATCCAAATAAAATCTCTTTATTCCTTGTTAGAGAATATTGAAAAGGAAAGTCAGGTGAGAGAACAGGTATTTAACATGTCCACCTGTAAGCCAGAATACAATAAAAATTCCCTTAAATTGCATGAGGAACAACCACTGTCAAACTTTCATTGTTTTTTTTTCAAATATATTTKTTAAGGTATAGATGGACACAATACCTTTATTTATTTTTTTTAAGATTTTTTTTCTAGTTGTTGATGAACCTTTATTTCATTTATTTGTATGTGGTGCTAAGAATCSAACCCAGTACCTCATATATGCTAGGAAAGTGCTCTACCACTGAGCTACAACCTCAGCCCCTTATTTATTTTTATGTGGTGCAGAGGATCAAACCCAGCGCTTCACACTTGCTAGGCAAGTGCTTAYAACCCCTGCCCACTCCCATTGGTTTTACAATAAAATTAAAACAATAAACAATTTGAATTTTTACTATTGGTTTTGATTTTCCTATTGCTTGTATTTCCTTTTCCTGAAATCTCAAACATTACATTATTTAAATCAACCTTCTCCTTTCAATTTTCAGTTTGCCAAGGTACATTAGTCTGCCCCTCAAACTAATCTAATTATGTTTTTAAAAGAGTAATAATCAATTTAGCTTCCACTCGTGTGTGTGTGTGTGTGTGTGTGTGTGTGTGTGTGTGTGTGTGTTTGTAGTACTAGGAATCGACTCCTGGGTGCTTTGCCCCTGGGCTATGTCTTCAGCACTTTTTATTTTTTTGAGACAGGGTCTTGCTAAATTGCTGAGGCTAGCGTCAAACTTGCACCCTCCTATCTCAGCCTCTTGAGTTGCTGGGATTATAGATGTGCATCATCAGGCTCAGCGAGCTCCTACTTTTTAAATGAAGCCATTTCCTACTTAGTTCTGGTCAAAATATATAGAAAACGCGATGGCCAGAATTGCTTTCCCTTCTAAACTAGCCTACATGGTTTTACCATACTTTATTGTTGTGACAGTTGTGTTTTTGCCATTTGTTTATGTTGTATAATATAATCATGACAATTATATGATTGCTAATGATAGGTTTTTTTTCCTTTTGCTGGGGCAGGAACAGAGAATGGAGTAGTTTTTCTGTGTATGTCAGTTTAAATTGTTAATTAAATTGATAACTGCTGGTTGTAAACTCAAAGCCAGGTCAAAAGAGTTTGGTCCATTATTCAATTTCCAGATTTACAAAGGTAGGCTTAACTTAATTTTTTCTTAATATGCTGTTCCTTGATATTTATATAAATTTCAAAATGCAAAAGCCAGTATAAGGTTGAATCTCCATAAAAGGACATCTTTTGAAAAAAGATGTCCATCTTTTGAAAGGACATTTGGCTAATTTGGAGCAATATAAAAAATATTTCAAAAGTTATAAATTTGAAAAATTACCATAAACCACAATTAAATTACTTTTCAGTTTTATATTTAAGGGAAACAAGCAGAAATCCAATGTAATGTAATGATATGAAATTCTCATTCAATATAGATTGAGGACATAAACAATACGGGAACTGAAACAACATCAGAGGTAAACAGACATTTCCTTTAATGAAACATTCAACTTCAATTATCTTATTCACAAATTTTCTTGTAATCTAAGAAAATATGAAAAGGACTTTGTATTTAACTCTTTATTATAAACACAAAAGAAGGATGTTTTATGAAAGCAAGTTCATACTTTTGCACTTTCAAACACTCTAGTGTTTTTTAAGAAAAGTATGTTTTTGCTCTCATAGTTAGAAGGACAAGTCTCAGTTTCAGTATTGGATACTCTGCCAAGACTATATATTTCTTGAACCGCTACTAACAGTTGAGATTGTTGAAAACTAACACTGTAAAAGGTAGTTTTCTTTTAATTATTTGTCTTCTTTCCTCAGAGTTCCTGATAGTTTGTGTTTCAGTTTTCATATGCGAGTACAGAGTGCAGTGTGTATTACCATGTAYCAACAAGCACAAAAATTTTAATAATTCCTTTTTATCTAACAAAGAAAGTTAAAAATCAATCAAACAATCTGATGGTGTGCCTAAAACCACAGCCACATGAATTGGAAAAATTTTACTTTAGGGACGTGCGTTATATTTTATAACTCTTCTCTATTTTTCTAAAAAGAGGGAATAATAGATTATATAGTGGAACTAATTAAAATCAATTTCAAAAAAATTTTAATAGGATTAAATACTAAAGTATATTAAAAACACTTAATAAATCACTTGTATATCCTGTAGGGTTTTTTCCTCATTAAATACTAATTATATTAAGTATTTTTAAAACTTGCATGGTGAGGAAAAATTATATAATTTTGTGTGTGTTTAGACTGAATCTATACACCATCAAATTGATTTAAAGTGCACTCACATGTTCATTACCTTTTTGTGGGATTAGTGCATGGAGAGCTAAATTCAGGCAGTGTCACTACTGTTTTATCTGATTACCTATTTAACTCTATCTTCTAGGAAATAGAATGCTTCTCAACCTTGTCAGCAATGGATTTCAATAAGATTAACTCACAGTGCACAGTGAATATTGAGAAACATATTTAATARTAACTAGTAAAAATAATTTTTTGTTCTTTATAGTAACACTGATGGCAATGTAATGAAATTCACCAATGATGGAGGTAAAGTCCCCAAAACCCTGARTTTTTATTATGAAGTTTTATGCTAATTATCTATCTTATAAAATAGGAAGGAGACGATTCACTACTTATAACAGTGGTACCTGTCAAATCATACAAAACAGCTGGAAAAATAAAAAAGAATTTTGAGGATCTAGAAAAAGAAGAGGAGGAGAAAGAAAGGATTAAGTGTGAAGAAGATAAAAGAATAAGACATGAAGAACAACGACGATCTCTCAAGGAAGCAAAATGTCTTTCATTCCTCATGGTAATTTTATTATTTTAAGGGACATATCAAAATAGTTAAGTTGGCAGCATTCCATTTTGTAACTAACAGGTGTGTTTTCATAGGATGATGAAATGGAAAGTGAGGCAAAAAAAGAATCACTTTTTCCTGGAAAATTGAAGCTAACTTTTGAAGAATTGGAGCGACAACGACAAGAAACCAGAAAAAAGCAAGCTGAAGAGGAAGCAAGACAACGTTTAGAAGAGGAGAAGCGTGCTTTTGAAGAAGCAAGGCGGCAAATGGTAAATATATATACTTAAACCTTACGTTTAGTATTAGAGAAACTAACTAGCTTTAGATTAGGTTCATTACCACAAATTCAAGATTTTCTATATCAAAGGACATGGCTGGATGCAATGGTACATTCCTGTAATTCCAGCAACTTGGGAAGCTGAGACAGGAGGATCACTAGTTTGAAGCCAGCCTCAGCAATTTAGCAAGACCCTGCCTCAAAATAAAAGGAGTTGGGGATATAGCTCAGTGGGAAAACACTCCTGTATTCAATCCCTGAAAAAAGAAAACAGTGCTGGGCCTGGTGGCACATGCCTGTAATCCCAGTGGTTTGGAAGGCTGAGGCAGGATGATCTCAAGTTCAAAGCCAGCCTCAGCAACTGGTAAGGCACTAAGCAACTCAGTGAGACTCTGTCTCTAAATATAATACRAATTTATGGAGCTGTGAAAACAGTGTCTGATTTTGAGACTGTATACATATCCTATATATAAAATTCATCTGTATTGTTTTCAAGTTTTCACCTGGTGGCATTTTATCCAATACACATATATAGAAACGTGCAAAATACTCAATGAACCTAATTTCTCTCYATCTGTTGGTTCAGCCTGCAATGTATTAATGGCCTGATTGCAGGACATTTTCAGGTCTAATTATAAAGGTATATTTGGTTTCAGTCCAGCTTTTCAAATATTTGAACTTATTGAAATAACATTTTA